GGAAAACGGGCCCACCTTTTTAGATTTTCCACTTTTTCTGGGAATTTTCCAGTGGGATGAACCGACGAAACGTGTTCCATTTACCGCCGAACCGGAAATTGCGGAAATTTTGACTAAATGGAAAGCTCTCCAAGAGTGTTCGCTGAGACCGCTGTCAGCCAGCAAAACTTTTTTTGGTGCGTTGTCACGGGGACTTTGCACTGATTAGCTAGTTTGCATTGCCTATTGTATTTTCTGGCATTTGATTGGCTCAGACCAGCTGTCCTATTTTTCTTAAATTGGACAGTTTACCTATTTGTAAAGGAAAGCCCTATCTGAAACTATCCAAATTAATCCTTAATTGGATAGTTCGTAAAAAATAAAGAATAATAGCTTTGCTGACAATATGGGATTAACTAATAGGTATATGTTATTAAAAGTAAAACACTATGCAGTCATGTCCGTAAGTAAGAAAAGCAATATTAATTTATTCAGAAGGCCAGATACAAAAATTTTTTATTCAGCTGGCAAACGAAGAGAGTCTATCACGCTCTAGTTGTTGCTTATCATTACATCAATTTTCTCTCTAATGGAAAGAAATTTTTGAAGAAAGGGATTATATTGTGATCATCGGCATGCTACATAAAATGTAGGTGAAGTGTGACCTGTTGCTTCAGAAAAATAAGCGCGACCATGCATTTCTGTTGAAAAAATATATTTTTCTCAATGCAAGAAGACTATGCTCTATTTTCTTCAATGCTTGTCATCAGCATGCTATAATGACATGAACTTGAAGTGTAACTTGTTTGGTCATATGAATAAGTGTCACCTTATACGTCAAAAATTTTTTCTCTATTTTTCTTCAACAACACAGGTTACATTTCATGCTTATATGACATAGCAAGCCGATAAAATAGCAAATGCACAAAAGACATAACAAAAACTGTAAATTATATTGTTAGTAGAAGCCCCTGGATATCACAGGCTCCTGAACTTAATAGACCAAATGAGTTGAAGTTGCTAATGCTGATTACGAATACAGTGGAGGCTTTCCTAACGGACGCTCTTGTTAACAAAACCCTGTGTTTCTCAACTCTCATACAAAATCTGTATTTTTACATTTCTGCTGCCAGATCCAGTGATGGATACTTTCTTTTGCATCCTGAGGTGTCTGCTCATGAGACCTTCTACTGTAATTTATGGTCACTGCACTTTTAATCACTAAATTTTTTCTTGCTAGCCTTGTCAACTAAAATGGTCATAGTTTGGGTTGCTTTGGCTTGTGTCCGAGCAATGTAGTGTATAAACTCTGATTAAACTGCAAATACATAAAACAAGTTATAAAGGTTCCAACCATTCTACTGGACACTAAACTTTTGTTCATTTTGTTATATTTTTTTAAATGTGGACCTTGTCTGCATCACCCTTTGAAATCTGTTGTCAAATTCATGGCTTTTCGTCTTTAAGTATGGACAATAAAGCTGGGACTCATTGGTGCTCTTTCTTACTAATGCCAGGATGTGCCTTTAATATGGGTCTGCTTAATACAAGTTTTTTTAATCTGAAACTGTATACACTTGATGGTTTTCTTATACAGCAATCATACATTACTTTGTTTCAGTGAGATCTACCAATGGGTGTACTTTCAACATATTATTTGTTTTATAGCTGGAAACTTTTTCCTAATTCAGCACATGCTTTCATTGGTTACTTCAAGGCTACATGACATTTAACAATGAAACTGTTTCCTGCCAAAATCTATGAGCAGGCAACATTGCAAAATCTATGACGTCAGGGGGTAACAGTGCAGTGTTACCCGCGAAAGCTGACCGATAACCTCCCATTACAGCAAGGTTTAATGAAGTCCCAGCTTTAAAATTTCTAGCAGCTACAGTATATAACAAATCACTTAGAGACTGATGCCTTTAAAAACAGTTAATTTTACTTCCCTCCAATCTCAATGTTTCCCTGGGCTCCCTCTCGGGAAATGTTGAGGTTCTCAGGAAACAAAATTAACTTAATTCCCTCGGGACCAGTCACTAAGGGTTTATAACTATTGTTTCACTCTTACCAGGGCTATCCAGGATTCCCAGGTGGCTACCCAGGTGCAATGCAGCAAGATCCTCTTTATGGCTACTTTGCTGCTGTTGCAGGAGCGGTAAGCAATAGTATTATTCAAATGATTCATAGCTGTTTTTAACACTTTATGCTGTAGTTCAAAATGAAATTCAGGTTACAAAATGTTGAAAGTTTTGATTAATATAATATCAATTCTGTGTAAGACCCTTCTGTGATATAATTAAATTAGTGAATTTATTGTGGTGTTGAATTTTAAGCCTGGTAAATACCCATATGATATGAAGAGTCTTGTGTTTCAGTCTCAGTAACACAGATAACCTGTGAGCAAGCTCTCTGGGGCGCTCTGGCAGTAGGGTGGGAAAAGGAAGGAGAGCTTGCAACTACATCTCTGTAATTTGAATACCACCTCCAATTCCCCGTGGCTCCCCATCGACTGAGCTGTCACATTTCCGCCAATACACATGAATGTAAGCAAACATTGAAAAAGACATGCCAAAGGTAATGACGTCATTGCTAATGTCATCTCTGCCAATCAGCATTTTCGCATCAACTTTTTCAAAGCAGAAATTCAAATTCCAGAGATGTAGTTGCAAGATCTCATTTCTTTTCTTTTTCCCGCCGCAGTGCCAGAGTGCCCCAGAGAGCTTGCTTGCAGGCTATAGCACGGACGACTCAGAAGAAACAATCTGAGGTGTCAAAGCTGTGACTTTCTGGTTACTTTGGTTCCTCTATCACTGAGCCTACTGTCGACTCCCGATAACTCGAGCCTGGTAGGGAAATCAGAAAAAGTTCGAGTTATCGGGAGGTTGAAGCAAATAACGAGAAGTGAGGAAATAAGCAAATGGATGGGGAGGGAATGCAATTAAGCACAATTTAAGTATACAGGGATGGACACTGAATTTGAACTGGAGTAACAAAAAAGTAAAGACAAAGAATTGACACAGTTGTTTCATGAAAGAAATTCAATGTTCGGGACTTCAGTACATGGTTTTTTTCCCGACTTGTCACACACTTATAATTAATGGTTCAAGTTATCAAGGGTAAAATTGTATACAAATTAATGATCTGAAGGGAAACAAAAATTACTTTAAGTTAGAAGGAGGTTCAAGTTATCGAGGGTTCGAGTTACCAGGAATAATTTAATTGCAGTTAATGTGTGAAGGAAGTCCAGGGGAAATCGACTTTGGTTCAGCACAAGGTTTGATTTAACGAGGGTTTGAGTTATCAGGAGTCAAGTGTATATTTGCCCCAAGAACTCAAAACATGCACGCATGTAAAGTAAAATTAATAAAATCTTTGTGTCCCCCCCCCCCCCCCCCCCCCCCCCCCAATAAAAGTTTTGGTGCTTTACCTCTGTCCCCCGTATTATAATCACATCCGTCCTTTATCCCCATTTTTTTTTTTTTTTTTTTTTTTTTGTATTTTATTTTTTTTTAATTTTTATATTTTTAATTTAATTTATATATTATTTTATTCAAATTAAAATCTAGACTAAAAAAACTGAATATATATCGAGAAACGAAATGAGTAGTGCATCCCTATTTGTCATACATGTATACAGTAGTCCTGACTGTACATCCCCTTAATTTTTCCTTTGATTCTTCGAAACTTAATAATTATGCATATACATGTACATTACTTAAATTACTTTATTATGTAAAGGATCAGCAAATTGATGCCAAAGAACTGCAGGGCTGTTTAACAAGCTCAGGAATTTCCGGAAGTTACCATCGTAAGTATGATTTTATGGATTTCATGCATTGATTTTGTTTGATAACATTTATTTCTGTTGAGTCTTGGTCACACGCAAGCAGATATTGGCAAAAATGTGGCCAGGTTTGTTCCTTTTTGAGCCGGGCACAGAAATGGGAAAAGCAGTGCTGGAGATTAGACATAATATTATTATTTTTAGTTATTATCGAGAGATAAAAATGAATATGATATATAAAAATGTGCCCTATATTACATGAACCACTATAATTAAATAATAATTTTTCTAGTCTCAACAATGTTGTTAGAAATATACCTATCAATACTCTTTCTATTTATTTTATAATGTGTTAATTTGAAAGAGGGGCCCACACAGTACCTCAGAAAAGACTGGTGGAGGGAAGTGATCGCCTGAAATACATTTGTACAACTGCATTTGCAGGCTAACCTCAGTAGAAGAATGCTCCATTTTTTTTTTCTTAAAAAAAAAAAAACAGGCTAACCTCAGTAGAAAAGTGCTGGATTTTTTTTTCTGAAAAAAAAAACAACAACAAACAAACAAACAAAGAGGTTTGCCAAAATGTAGTTGATTTTGTTTTACTTTATGAAGAGTTGGAGTGTCTTTGGTTTAGTCTAGCTATTAGGATATGTCAATATTGCCATTTGCACTGGATTGCATTACTCCTGGGCTGGGTTTTCAAAGCTGGGTTACGATAGCCCAGTGTTAGTGCCAAATCTGAATTCAGATATGAAGGCTTAAAAAGTAATATTTAGTTTAATTCTTTCTGTCTACAATTTGGTGCTTGGATACTCTAAAAAGAATTGGAAAAACTATCTGACTAGGAAGATATATCAAAAAAGACAAAGAACAACAACAACAAAAAAACGAAAGAAAAAGAAACCCAAATCAGGGTGCAAAGAAAGTCATTTTTACAGCTTGCCATTCGGGCAAGCCGAAGCTAACATTTACTAGCCCAAACATCATTTCAACTGGCCCCAAAAGGGTCTTGATGAGCAGACTTGATTTCACAGTTCTTCTGTAATTTGAATTCCAAAAAAAATCTTCACTTGCACGTTGGGCAAGTTAAGAACAGCATTCACTAGCCCGATAGCAATATCCACTAGCCCCGGGCTATCGGACATGACTTTCTTTGCATGGTGCAAATTAAAGTCCAGGTTAGCGATGATTGGCCTTCGAACAACTGGGCCCTGTATGTCTTAAAGCCTGATACTTAAATGAGTTCCTTGAATAGAGAAAGTTATCCATGTACGGTCACACTGTATTGTAGTACTGTTGGTTTTCCATATTAGTAATAATAATGGCTATTTTTCTTCCTTTTTATGTTGTTTAATTTCTCAGCATTCAGCTTGGAGACTTGCAGGTTTGTATGATCTTTGTATGACGACACTTAGCAAAATGTTTTGAAATAAATGCAATGAATATTATTACAGGTAACTTATGCAGTTGCAAATAGTAAGCCTGAAAAAATTCAGGTTTGCTGGGATTGGAACCCTAATCTAACCCTGATCTCTGTGTTACTGGTGCAGCACTCTAACCAACTGAGCCGGTTTTCCGAGATTCTCTCTGTGTTACTGTTTGAAGTTGGTTACATTCAGATCCGTTGCAGAAGTTACATATGTTTCAACTAGTGCAAAAATGTCAATTGTTTGAGAATTGTATTGTACTTAAAAAATCATCTGTTTTCAGCTTATTTCCAAGAATGCTGCTAACTGTCGGCAATTGCATTGCCCATCCTTCAAACCCTAGCCCCACTTATGAGGTCCTTGCATGGCCAACTGATTACTGCATTCACCATATTTATGCCACATTGTGTGAGCAATAAATTATGGCTCTCTATTATCTTCTAGACAGCAGCTCTAGATAAGTGCATAGTCATTACTGTATTTTTGCTGATCGACTGCCAGAAATAATCTTACTTTAATGATCACATCAGGTCTTTACTTAGGATGTTTAGGGTAATTATTTTATTGATTCTACTCTTTATTTAATTTTACTTTTGGCAGGTTAATGATCACCATGTTAGATGTATCCTTGAATCAGCTAAATTAAATTTCTGTACACACCATGCAAGCTCGTGTTAAATGTCATCATCTGTCTCTTCACCTTGCCGCCAATTGTGGGGTGTGGCGAAGTGATGAATGACATTTTAGACTTCATGTAAGCATAACAATTATTTTGTCATCAGGATAAAAATTGTCTTTGCTTGAATACATGTAAATGCCTTACTAGTTGTTTAACAATGAGAGGGAACTGGGACTTTAATTTAAAACCAAAAAATGTGATACAAAACAAAAAAAAACAAAATTGATAAAAAGAAAACAAACACAATAACAAAAAAAAGAAACGTAAAAATATGGGAATTTAGTTCGTATGAAACCAGTGTGAAACCACTCATGCCAATTATCTAAATGAAAAGAAAGAAAGCTTTCCAGTAGTCAAGTTGACTTCTTTTTTTCCTGCCATTGTTTTTTAGTTTTCACAGCAATACATAAATGTATATTGTGCGGGTATAATATCAGTAGTATATTTCATGTTTTGTATACAATTTAAAAAGGCTTTCTTAACAACTGAGTAGCGAGACTTCAGCGGCAAAATGGGTTTCAGTGAATTCAAGGAATTGTGGGCAGCACTGAATCAGTGGAAGGTAACCTTAACACTAGTCTGCTACACAGCCGTTTTTAGCGTCGTCACGCAATGCTCCTCCCCACAAGTGGGGAGGAGCATTGCGTGACGACCCTAAAAACGGCTGTGTAGCAGACTACCTTAACACAGATTATTACTGCATTTTTTCAAAATATGCGCCTGGGAACTATGTTCACACTAAACCGGGTATCTTTTGCGCCGCCGGCACGAACACCAAACCAGATAGGGCAAGTTCTTTACACAAATAAGAATAATTGTGACTTTGGCGCGATTTCTGTAACAGAGTGAAGCTGTTCCGCGCCGATCTCTAGATTGGGAAGTCACATATCAGATGGGTGTTGACCAGATAACTTTTAGTTTCGGCATCAAAAGCTATCTGCTGTGGTATGAACATAACCTTCGCACAACAGGTGGTGGTGTTAGTGGTAGTGACTTTGACGTGTTGTAGGCTTTTTTAGAAATTTATTTGTAAATAATAAATGTATTGTTTTCGTAGACTACATTTATGCAGTATGACCGTGACAGATCAGGAACTGTAGAACCACATGAACTTCATGCTGCTCTGTCTGCCTTTGGTAAGGTCCTGCGTGCCTTTTACACTTTATATATACCAAATTAACTCTTAACTCCAATAGTCAATCAAAAATAATTAAGGTTAACGTCGCAAGCTCACCGAGTAGCAAGGTTTCAGCTGAGGTTTATTTCTTTTCTGTTGGTGCGATTTTTTGATAAAGCCGCATAATGAATCACAGGGGCTTCTGTTTTCTGTGCATGCGTTCTTGAAAGCTAACTGCTCTCTTCAAAAAGAGAACCTCAAAGATCACTTAAGTTCAAGTGAAACCTTTCTTTTGCTAACACTTGAAACATGAGCACCGCACCTTTGTGTAATAAATTGTAACATTCTTATTTGTCTTCGTCAGGTTATCGTTTGAGCCCTAACGCCTTGAACATCATTGTCAAGCGATATTCTACCGATAACCGAATCACCTTTGACGATTTCGTAGCCTGCTGTGTGCGTCTAAAGTCCTTAACAGGTATGTGCAGGCAAAAAATGCCTGGCTGAGTGATCAGCTCCTCGGACTCTTCACTTTCGTAGTTTGTAGGATGGCCCTTGGGACCTGTCGCGACACAGGTGCACGCTCGGCCGCTACGCGGCCTAAAAACCTTCTTTCGCTTGCTTTACAGCTTTTCAGGTGTGAAACTCGTTAGGTCGACTTGTAGCAAGTCTAGTCGGACTCAAAAGGGGCCTTACGATCCGACAACGGCGACGTCCATAAAAACATCGTTGAAAAATAGACTTCGCTCATTTAACTTTTTCGCGATTATACCAACTCGCCCGGATACTGAAAAGAAGGGAATTTATGTTAGAGCTGAAGGGAGGGGACCACCCCCGAGTTCAGACAGTGATGCTAGAATTTATAGCCTTGCCGTTGCCGTTCTCAAACGAACGTAACATTTGGCCATTTTACGTCGCAGTTGTGCAGGGATGGAAAAGAAATGTACACAAAAAGCGTGATGCACGTGCAAAGCTGTTGTTTTACTAATTAAACCTATTGCTTTTTTGAGGTTCTCGTTTCCGTCCCCGTTGTCGTTGCTAAAGCTCCCTGATTTAATATGAACTCCTTAAAGGAAAATAATTCATAAATGATGATAAGTAGTGACTGGGTGAATGTCTTAAGATAAATTTGCCAACCGTCCGTGCGCTTATTTACCAAACATCCAACGTTACTGGGCGAGCTATTATAAGTACAACTGAACAAGTGGGGATAGGAGGGAGAAGATAAGAAAACGCGGTGTTTTGCTTCAAGCGTTAGTTTTCCACACCGTCCCACCCCTCCGTTCCTGTTTTTTATTTATTTATTTATTTATTTATTTTTATTTACTTATTGACTTATTTTATTTGTTTGTCGTCACTCGTGTCCTACCGGCCTTAGCGCAAAGATCTCATAGGATCGCTTCCTTTCAGCCATACTTCCGTAGTCCGTTTTATTCAGAGGTTGTCTAAAAGTAAATCACCTCTGTAAAATTAAACAGTTGTTTCTCTGTAGATAAAACTCTTACCATAGTTTTACCTTGATGTTTCTCGTCAGATCAATTTAGAAGACGCGACACTGCCCAGAACGGAATGGCGACTTTTCAGTACGATGATGTAAGTGTCGTCTTTGTCACTGTAACAACGTAACGTACCTTGGCAAGCTTTTACAGTCCTGTTCTTTCTTCGTAACCTTCTGATCACATTGGAAATGTTGATGAGTTAGTTGTCTCCTCCTCCTTCGGTCAGACTTTTAGTTGGTCCGAGTTTGTTCTGATGGTAGTCTGGTTGTTTCCTTTTAGCCAAGTGGAAAAAGCCTGTAAGACGCGCGAGGAAGAGCTAAAAAATAGCAGCATGCCCTCGCCCTCGCTCGTCTCGTGTGCTTCTACTCGGCTAAAAAGAAACGATAACGACTTCTGCATAGGCTAGTCACGTGAGCTAACAGCGACTGTGAACCATCGGGTCGTCTTCCTTACATCTAGCCCTGACTTCTGACTAGAGAATTCCCCGATCAGTTTTGTTTCTTACGACTGTTGTTATTTTCTAGTTCATCCAGGTGTCTATGTACTGTTAGATGCCGACCACGGATCCTACAAGCCTTGCTGTCATTGGTGTCAATCATTTGTTTTAAACTCGTAATTTAAAAACTAAGTTAATTAATATCGGAAGTTCTTTTCTTTTTTGCGATTACATTTTTTAAAACTGGTCGCGAGTGTTTACAACCACTAAAGCAAGGGTTCACTGACTGAACTGAAATTTTCGGAAAAATAAACTTTCAAACTACGGGCAATGTCTGGGCAGTTTGCCGTCTGAAGGAAAACAATTGAAAGACACGTTTTAGTCTAAGAAAACTTTTTAATACCTGTTTAATTCTATTAACGAAAGATTTAACTTGTTAACGAGAGTCAAGCGAGTCTCTACCCAAAAGTACGATTAAACTCGTCCAAAGTTTATGTTGCCTGAACTTTCACGTCCGAACAGTTCGTTGTTGCAGAATTTTCTTTTCTAGACAAGTTAGATAAGGTACAAGACTTAGTGTGTATGAAGGCTCTTAAAGATCTATTTTTCACAAGTTAATAACTTTTGAAGACAAATACGTACTTTCCTAAGTACAACCATAACAACAGAACAGATTCAAATAACTGCCGTCGAGTAAGTTTTACTTATAAATTGTTGCTCAGTAAACCTTGCCGTAGCAAGCTGTAGTTTATGGAAGCTTTAACATTATCAAGAAGCCGGTACGTGATGACTATGTAAAGAACTTCCTTGTCCAAAATATAAATCAACTCAAGTTATTTTATTAAACACTTGAGAATAAAGATAAGCGAAAAAGGTTCAACACAACAGTTTCGATGTCGCCTTTTTGAGTACGGATAGAAAAGTTGCCGCCCTGGTTGCTACTCAAGAATTGCAATGGAAAATTAGACTGTCTGATTTACGAACTGCTTTTTATTAAAGAGAAAAAACCAAGCTTAAACACGCAATCAGATTCCATCCTAGCAAAACTGTTTGTAACATATTTTCATCTACACGTGCAAACATGTTACTTTTGCTCTCCAGTTTATTTCGTCACTTTAAACCATATATATATTAGGTCAATTTTTAGTTTTTGTCTTTGTCACTTGATAATGATGTCATTGTGACATCGAAACGTTGTGTTAAACTTTTTTGGCCTACCTGTATTCGTAAGTGTTTACCAAAACTTAATTTGATTCGTACATTATTTTATGATAAGGAAAATTATGCAAATTTGTCGACTGCCTTTAAGCTAGAAATATCTAACTAGGACAGATGAACAATTTCCTGGAAAACTTGCTCGCGTCGCTGTCTGGACTCTATAGCAATTATAGCGGCCAGTTTAATTTCCCTTTGCTTCAAGTGATGCAAGACACGATACGATATGGTCCTTTTTGGCACACTTTTTGACCGACATGTGGTCTAAGTCTTCTCTAGCCTTAAAACTATCTCCGATCTTGTTCAGTACAACTCGACATCCCAAACATGAACAGATTTCGTCTTTGCATGACTTTCATATATAGAAGAATAAATTCATTTCGGTGAAATAATCGTCATTAGATAAGGTATTTTACTTTTACTTTTAATGTAGTGTTCCCAATGATATTTCCCCAGTAAAATAAGTTATGGCTACTGATAAAAAGTTGTCGGCAATTTAGAGAGCAATACCTGCGTTGTTGCATGATGTATCACTTAAATTAATACTGAGTCAACTATGATGGCTCTTGCACTTGTCAAAATATAAGAAACGAAACCGTTAAAAAATAGCTGTGTGGTTTGTTGTCAACGTATAGCTTTTAAAACCATGTGTGACAACCATTAAGACATCTCTACCTTATCCTTATCTGCGCGAAAAAATGCGCAGAGCATTTTGGGTATGCAAACAAGCAATAATGCATCCCAAGACACCACGTGGGTTGCCTGAGAGTTAGCGAGGCGGCTGAGGGCATGTTGTGTTTAGCTTAACAGGTTCTCGCTGCCTTTTCATTGTTACTGAAAAAAAAATCATCGTACTCTTTCGATAGACCATTTCAGCCTACGGGTACGGGTACGCGAACATGTTTACTTCGTAGTTTTATAAAATGCAACCGTTATTTCCCTCATGTGATAATGGCGTAACCATTCTACCCGGTAGCCTACCCGTTTCTCCCGGGTAAGAGGTAATCTAACCGTATTTACGGCTACGTGTACGCCTAATTTACCCTCGCACGGAAACGGTGTATCTTAAGGTGTCTAATAAATGAAACACGGTCGGGACTTGCTCTGAAAACGGATATTGATGTTAGCCAGGTCTGAAAACGGGTGGGGAAAATGAAATTTTTTGGTCTTAAAAAAGTATCAGGATTTAGAGAACCGGGCGGCACCTCCAACCACCACCAAGAATTCCCAGGAGTACCCCCTCACCCCGTGAGTTAGGGTTGACCGGCTGGGCCCCCGGAGAAGTTTCGAACCTCTCATGGAGCCTGGTTACTTGGCTAACATCGACATAGCCTGCGCACCAGGGCGCAACCTCGTCCCCAGGGAAAAGCCCTGGGGACGAGGTTGACCAGGGCGAATAAAGATTGGGTGGTGAAACAAGCGCTCCGCTCTCATGTAATGTGTGATGCTGAGTAGGACTGGCAATAGACTACGAGCAGTCTCTTTTTTTTCTGTATTCCGTCGAGCAAAACGCGAGACACGCTAATGGCCACGCGCGTGACTGATAACCCTCGTTTCGTGCGTGTCGCGGCTTCGCCGCTCCCGCGTGAGTGCACTGCTCTCTCTAAATCTAAAGAAAAAGAGAGACTGCTCGCAGTCTAGACTGGCAAGAGAGCTCTTTCTGCGATTCCGGTGCTTTTGAGGGCCGGAGAAATTTTCCTTTTTGCAAACCGGAGAAATCCTATTTTCTTTCTGTAATCTCAGGCTACAGTGTAAAATAGATAGATTCCTTTCATAGCAATATTAATAAACAGTTTCATATGTTTATGTCTGTATGCTTAAAAGTCAAAAATTGTTGGTCGTATAATGCCAAAGTTTGAGTTCAATTTGAAAGTGTTGAATGCCTCCTCCTTCTGCTAAATACAGTGAGCGTCTTTCGCCGTTTCGTTTGCAAAAGCTAAACACTTCTTAACCGTAATTTTTACATAACATGTTAAAGGGGGATAAATTTAATTTTACATAACATAAAAAAAATTAGCTGATATATGTTGATATAGTGGCGTTGTACTACTTCAAACATCAGGGACCTTACGATCCGACAACGGCGAGGTCCATGAAAACGTCGCTGAAAAAATTTTTCAATAGACTTCGCATCCTTTTAACCGTTTTCGCGATTATCCTAATTCGCCCTGTTGCTTAAAAGAAGGGAATTTTGGTTCGAGCTGAAGAGAGGGGCGACATGGTGATTCGCGCAATGATTCGCAAATCCGGCAGCCGCGTGCTGCAATTTATTGAGGTTAATTGTAAGGTTTTTTCTCACCTAAGCTTTGATTGTAACCTGTGTACGGACCTCCCTGGGAATTCTTGGTGGTGACACTGTTTTTCAGACCAGACCATTGGGCACAATGCACACGGAACGGGAACGATCGATCAACGGGCGCTTTCGTGCGGAGCCGACTAATTCGGAACGGTGTCTACACCCTAGTGACACGTTTGCATATCACAGTGCCCACAATAACTTGTTCCGTCACGCTACGCGTAATCCACAAGTTAAAAAATTCCCTTTAATCTTTTCTTCAATATGAATCCTCTTGGTGCTTACTTCATCAATCAGTCCCACGATCCGTAAACGCGTCGTTCTGAGGAAAAAAAATCGTCTGCGGTTCCCAGACTAGAAAGGGCGGCTGTACACAGGCTATAGCCTGCGAGAGCATCCGGTTTTTTCGGCTCTAGTTTGTTGGTTCCACATTAGAATACACAATAGACACAGTAGACAGGGGCACCCAACGACGGTTTCCTTCTAAATACTTTGAAAACTCTTTTTAGGCTATCCAGTGTACTTTTAGATATCTAGAAATGTATTCTAAGCGGCGCTAAATTTGTATGTGTTCGGTCATCCTAGGGCAACTTGAGTCTTTCCGAAATTTCAAGGGCTTTATGCATTAGTCAATTCCAGCTGCGCTAAGCCCCTTTCCCGGGCTACCGCGGGGCAATTGCCCGCCCTGTCAGTCCTGGAGGTGGGGCATTTGCCAACCCATGCCGGGGCCAGCCCCGAGCTTTTGACACGCACGCGGTTTCCTATTCGAATATAACTACACAGAGGATTTTACTTGAAAACAAGCAGATTGGCTCATTTGTCAAGGATGGGAAAAAACTGAAGAGGTTTGTAAAGGCATGTTCTCGATTTTATGCATGCATTTCTTCATTGCTTATCAAGCCAGAATTACATAGCAAAACTCG